GCACCATCACGACCACCACTACCATCACAGTCACCATTATCAACACCATCACCACCACCACCATCACAGTCACCATTATCAACACAATCACCACCTTCACAGTCACTATTATCAACACCATCACCACCACCATCATCACCAGCCTATATCACTGTCACTGTCATCACTACACTCCCATCACCACTACCACTGTCCTCACGAAATCCCCATCATAATTACCATCAATACCACAGCATTGCCATCACTCTCATCACCAAAACAACAACAAAGTTATCATCGCTAACATTATGGGAAACTTTCTTGAGCCAATTAATGTTCCCGTCCTCCATGTGGATTTAATTTGTTATTCACAGTAAGTCAAAATGACACCAAAAGATAAATCGGGCTCAGAGAGGCAGAGCAGGAAGCCTAGCGACCTTACAATCCATGCTCCCCTCCACCATGTCCTATTGTTTCTTCAGAAATAGGACAAAGAAAGGGCCTTGCCACAAAGAACTCCCAAAGCTCTGTGTGAGAATAGTTGGTAATATAGGGACTTGGTTTCCAGGCAGCACATACACACAGGGAGCAGGCTCAACTGTAAATGTGTATCACATAAACTATAAAGACAGAAAACTGCTAAATGATCTCCTTTCTTTTAAGTGGTTTCTATATAGTTTACCAATAAAGGGAGCAAATCCTAAAGCTCAGCCACTCACATGCAAAGCGTAGAGATCAGGAAACCAAGGACTGGAGAAAAGATGTAATCTTGCCAGGGTCATAGCTCCTTCAGAAGGCGGCAACCACTCAGCCCCCTTCTTCCCCAGAAGTCAGAATTCTCTGCCACCGAAAGTGCCTATTGCGATTATTTCCTCCCCATGCCACTTACTGCCTCACCTAGGAATTCACCCTAGGGGACCCAAGTGCACAGCTGTTCCCAGATGTTCAGTGGTCTTCTATTTTGCAAAATGTGGGCCTTTTCCCTTCCTGGAAGTACAACAGGTTAGTCTCAGCACTATAAAGCTATTTGCAGTCACTGCAGCGCTAGTTCAATCTCCGCCCAAGGGAGGTGACCAACATGGCTCAGCAGACCTCTCCTGTCCCACCCTCTGCTCCCCTCAGCAGTGTACTTTGTCAGTCGGCCTGTTCTGCTCCCCACTCTGTCTCTGGTGAATCCTCTCACACCCACCCCCCATATCTCTGGACAGCGCCTCAGTTCTTGTATGCAAGAATAAATAATTTTTCTTTAAATTATGTGGGCCTGGCCCTCCCTGGTGGCGCAGCGGGTTAAAGCACAGCACTAAGAAGCTAAAGCCACTTACGAATAAGTTCGATTCCCGCCTGCCCCGGAGGTGACCATATGGCGAGGCAGACCTCTCCTGACCCACCTACTGCTCCCCTCAGCAGTGTATTTCAGCAGATCTGTCTGTGCTGCTCTCCACTCTGTCTCGTGAGTCCTCTCACTGTCCCTACACTTCTGGCCTGTACCCCAACTCTGTGTGCATATATAAATAAATCAATCTTTAAAAAAGAAATTATGTGGGCCTTTTCCTTCACATGATCTCCTCCCAGTAGTGCCATTCTCCCAAGTTTGTGCCCTGGCACCTTGGTCTCTGGCACAGGCTTTCCCAGCTGCGCAGTCATGGCCTCTATCATCAAGACACAGGGACAGTCATGTGTGTCCTCCCTGCTAAGAGGGCTGAATAGAAGCACATGGCCACACGAGATGGACACCAGTATAGACAAGGAGTGAAAAGGAAATGCAGGCTACAAGCACACACTGGGAAAGTGAACCTGGGAGAAGAGGAAACCCAAGACTCAGGGGCAGTGAGTAAGGGCCACTCCTCCCTAGGAAGACCTGAACTGATACCCTCTGAGTGGGCTGCCACAATCAGTGTTACTCAGGGTGTTAATGAGAAACCCAGGACTCATGTCCTGGGTCCATTTCTATACTAATGTAGCCTCCAGTCAGCCATTTAAGCCAGTGAACCGAATGCTAGACAGTGATATTTACAGACAGTGACAGTGCCAAAATCCTGCATACCTGCGCAGGGAGATGGTAGCAGTGTGGCCTTATTCAGGAAAATGAGACATGCTGGATAAGCCTTCTTGAAAAAAGAGGTCACCTAATGGGACAGTTGCTAATGAATTATTTTCTTCAAAGAAGACTGTGGTGCTAGATAATTCCACAGGCTTGGAAAGTACCTCCTCGCTGGGATGCAGTACAGTACAGGTTCGTGGCATGGAAGAACATTGGTCAGATGGGATTTAAGAAAGTGGGGAGCAAGGTGAGAAGTCCATTATCCTTCCACAGGTCAAAGTTTTCTAGAATCTCAATGCCTTCATCAAATCAGAATTCCTGTGTTTCTGGGAAAAGTGGGAAAATGTTGATGCCAACAAACAAGTAGTGAGGGGCCATCATATTCTTCTAACTCTTGTTTGTGACTGGACATCATCGCCACCATAGCTGTGCAATCGCTACTGGGGATCTGCACCTCATTGCATCTTTGTCAACACTAGCTACACGTTCGAACATGTACTTCATCTTGAGCACTGCTCTCCATTCTCATTCAAAAGGAAAGGCTGGTTGTTCACTTTCTCTCAAAAGTCAAGATTGCAGACTAAATTATAGAGTAGCGACTGGCATGAAGTTCATGACAAGGAGAGGCACTCTCAGGAGTACCTTTGCTTCCCAGGACTTTAAGCACGCGGGTATCAGCACACAGCACATACAGACATGGGCCACACACAACTTGACAAGCCCTCCCTAACATTCTGCACCAGGGGCCTGGCAGTTGATTCATGTCCAATGCACAGGGCAACAGCTCACCATGATGAAGTGAGGACCCATCACATAAGCTGCCTCCAGGGAGAAGGTGAGAAGGGCCCACAGGTCCCGAGAAGCAGGTGAAGGCCTCAATGTGTATCACTCCAAAACAGAGATTTACAGAGGGTCAAGAAGATAGGGGATTCTTACAGAACCCCCTGAAGCAAGTCAGGGAAGAGTTGGCAACATGCTCACAGCTCTGGGAACATCCACACTGCTCTTTCAGGAGGGGCCACAGTAGTTCCTCCTACCTGTACTCAGGCCCTTCACCTGTGAAAGGGACTGTGAGTGGCCCTGGGGTCATATGTTCACCTCAGCAAAGTATTCCCCTTGCAGCCCCACCCTAAAGTGGCCATCAGGGACCATCTACCAAGGATCCACAGAAAGGAAAGGGGCCCTATAAACATTCTAGGGAAGACACCCCAAACCACATCAGTGTCAGATGGCACACAGCGGCCCCAAGCATTCTCCAAGGTCCACCCCCCAATCTTCTTCCTTTCTGTAACAGGACCCACATAACCCTGACTCTAGGGAGCCAAGGAAATGAGATGCTCTCACACAGCCACCATACGGATTTATGAATGCAAGCACAAAGCACAGCAAGAAGCCCGGGGGTGTGGAGTTCACCACCACACAGAGATGCTGGCAACGCTGGTGACAGGCAGACATGATGTGCTGACTATAAGAGATCATAAATGCAGAAACATTTCATTTGCAAACTCTAGTAAGATATCAGAAAAGAAAACTGAGTTACTGACACAGAAAAACTGATGGAGATTATGTCACGAACTGCTTCCCCTTCTACCGTTAGGTAGCTCTGTTCTGCTCGCAGCCCTGATAGAGCTACAGTAGCTCTAGAACAGTCTCCTTCGAGCACGACTGTGTGTAAACAGGCTTGATCCCTGCCCAGCCAGACCAGAGGCTTTCTGTAATGGGCCTCAACAACCCTGTGGGTAAACGCAGGGTAACTAGGGAAATTCCACAGTTCAACTTGTGGAAACCCCCGAAAGAAGATTTTTATTTCGTTTCTTTGTTTGTTTGTTTGCTTGCTTGGCTTTGGTTTAGTAAGCAAGAGAATGATAAACATGTACTCACCTCGGCATGAAATTCCTTGACCGTCAATAATTTGCTTGCAAACCGCACAGACTTTGGCCTTTTTAAAGGCCTTGTTCTTGAAGCTGTGCAGACTGGCAGTTAACTCTTCTGCCTGAAAAAATAAAGAAAGAAACTATCAGTTCTTCAGTTCATCCTTTGCTTGATTTTTCATGTTCCCTTTCAGGAGATAGAAAAATCTAGTCACAAAGAACACTGACCTAACCCCCACTGCCTACGTGGTGACTTATCAGCTACCACTGCAGGATGACAGCCACCCAGCTCTACGACAAAGTAACCTGTGTCATTGCCAGAGCACTGGACATCTCCTCTGGAGAAATGATTAGAGAACAGCAGAGCTATGTTCAGGGGAAGATCACTGGTCTCATCCCCACCACCTCTCTGAACTGATGTGTGTTCTACAGAAGGAGAACAGTCACAGTAGCACCCATACCATGTAGAACATACAAATGTCCATCAGCAGGAGACTGAATAACCTGTCTGTAGAGACAAGATCCACAGTTCAATCTGATCATCTTATAAACACTCAAACTGCCTTAGAAACCAAACAAATGCCAACCAATATGCCTTCCTGCTGACAGGTGACAGGGCATGCTTGTAGTAACAATTCCCATGGGCTCACTGAGTTCTGCCCCACTAGAAAAGCTAAAATTCACTGAAAAGATACAACATTGTCAAGAATATGAAACAGGGTATCATTTGACAACACCAAGCCTATGACTGCACCTCCACGCCCTCATACAAATGACTTGCACAAGGATGGTCATAGCCACCTAATTTAAAATCACCTCAAGCAGGAAACATACAAATGTCCATCAGCAGGAGACTGAATAACCAAGACATGGTATTCTTGTGATGGAACACTGCTTAGGACTACACAAGCGCAAACTACAAACAGGGTGAGCTTCAAAAGTATTACCGGCTGGGTGAAAGAAGTCAGATCCAGAAGCAGACACTCAATGATTCATTTTATAAAAAGGGGAAGAACAAGCAAACAACAGACCTAAACAATAGTTTCCCTTGGGAGAGCGTCTTGACTGCAAAAGGCATTAAGAGAACTTTCTGGGTAAAGGTTAATGTGCCTTCTTAGTTATTCATGGATACATATTTAAAAGCATTAAACTGTGTGTTCCACAAGTTTTGCCTTTTTGTGTCGAAAGAGTTAATGCTAAAGGTTTTAAAAATATAGTACTAATGAGATATACAGAAATATATTGATGATATAGTTGATGGTGCTGTGAAACAATGCTAAACAACTTGATAGCAATCCAGTTACTTTTTGTTTTTTAATGATTATAGGAACTTCTTGAGGCCAAGCTGAAGAGTAGTAACTAGATTTATTGTACACATGAAATAGCCAAAAAACAAAACAAAACAAAACAAAACAAAAACAAAAACCCACAAAATAAATGAAGCAACTGTTGAACTGAAACCCCCATTGTTATGAATCTGGATCTGAAAATGAAGATTAGTGATATGAACACCCCAGAGACTAGGGGGAAAATGAGGTAAACTCTATCTGTGATTGTCCCAGATTCCTCTGTTGTCTGTCATGCAGAGAAGGGGAAATCCAGTGTATTATCTGGATCATGGAGAAGGTGCTAAATGTGCAGACAGAACAAAGCATCCATCATAGAAAACAGAGAGCTACACAGAACTGATAAGAGCTGCAGAAGGACCTTCTGAAACACTCAGTTAGGTCCTAGTGAGCACAAGGATATGTGTGTAGGCACATGCATGAGGAAGTTACCTAAGTCAGAAAAGATCACCAGGAAGCAGTAGAAGAAATAGTGTTGAGTGCTTACACAGGCTGGGAATGATGCCTCCTTCTGCAGTCAGAACAGAGAAGCTCAAAATCTTTCTGCTGCTCCCTTCAGCACTGTTTCAGTGGATCTGCCTGTTCTGGTCTCCACTCTCTGCTGAATCCTCTCACCCCCACACCTCTGGCTTGTATCCCAGTTCTTGTATGCATAAATAAATAAATTTTGAAAAAAGAAGAGGTACCTTAAGTAAATAAACAAATATATGAATAAACAAACAAAGTACCACTGAGCTATGAACTACGCAGCCCAACATACTTGTAAATGGAGACCCTGAAGAAGGCTGGATGGGTGGAAGGATACTGAAGAAATAATGCCTAAAATTTGTCCAAAATGTGAGGAAAACAACAAATTTCCAGATTCAAGAAATCTAACAAATCTCAAGCACAAAATGTGACATAAAATATGAACATGATAATCAAATTCGTCAAATCTAATGGTAGAGAGAAAAAAAAACCTTAAAAACAACGATTTCTAATCTATATTAAAATAAACACATAACCAAAAGAAAGACAATACAGTACAGAGAACCAACCATTAGGATAACAGATTTCTCGTTAAAAACAAAAAGAAGAAGAAAGTAGACAGAGGCCCAATATAATGTACAGAGAGGAAACTCTGCCAACCTAGTATTTTGTGTCTAGTAAAAATATCTTTTAAAAGTGAAAGATTCTTTCAGTCAAGAAATAAAGACTTCTTAAGCTATACAAAAGCAGAAAACTAGAGTAATGCATCAACAGTTGACACACACACACCACAAAATGTGTTAAAGCTGGTATGGGCAAAAAATAAAATGTCAGCTGGAAATATGACTTTAAACAAAAGAATGAACACAGAATGTGATCAATTAAAGAGCTAAACTATAAAACCAGAGCACCTGCTAAAGTATGACTTACTGATAATAATCCAACATAGGACAAACAATCATGGAAACATTTATTTGGACAGTACAGGATTTCTCCCCTTAGGGGGGCCACTGTAGCTTCCCACCACCAAAGCAACCATAGTCCTATCCCAAAGTCCTTTGTGCTCTACCCATGACTTCCCCTCTCTTCTTATCCCTCAGTCTCTCCTGTCCCTTCCCTCGGCCCCTTCCCTTTCAGTTTCCTCAGATCTATGGTCCGTTTTCAAAGGTTGATTTTTAAGTTAGTCTTTTTCTGACCCTTTCTTTGGTTTCTCTATATTTTACATATAAATGACACTAACCGGTATTTATCTTTCTTCTGGTTTATTTCACTTAGTATCAATATAACCAGCTCCATCCATGTTGCCATAAATGAAATGGTTTCCTTTTTAATCACTCAGTAGTATTCCGTGTATCTATGTGTCACATCTTCTAGATCGACTCATCTGTTTTGGGACATTTAGGGTGTCTCCATATCTTGGCTATTGTAAATAGTGCTGTTATAAACATAAGAGTGTAAGCTTCCTTTCAAATTAGTGTTTTGTTTTCTTTGGGCGGATACCTAGGAGTGGAATTCTGGGTCATAGGACAGATCCATTTGTAAACTTTTAAGAATGCATATTTTGAGAATATACATACTGCTTTCTGTAGTGGATGTCCAAGCACGGCAAGGCTGAATTAACATTCAAAAACAAATTAATAAACTAAGAAAACTGCAAGATGTTCTCAATTTGATGCTGAGAAATAACTAACAAAATCCAATATGCATTACTAATAATAATAAAAAAAAGCCCCTCAAATAAGAATACGAAAAGTTTTCCTTAACTCAATAAGTGATGGTCATGTAAAACCTACAGCAAACATCAGACTTAGTGATGAAAGACTGAATGCTTTCCTTTTAAGGTCTGGAACAAGGCAAGGTTGTCTGCAACACAGTCCTATTTAACATTATCCTAGAGGCTTTAATTAGTGCAAATAGGCACATAAAAGAAATAAAAGTGGCCAACTGAGAAAGGAAGAAATAAATTGTTCACAAATGACATGACTATCTATGAAAAAAAAAAACTGGCAAAATCTATAAAAATACTTTTAGGACAAGTGAATTTAGCAAAGTTGAAGGATACAAGATCAATATACAAATTGATAGCATTTGTATATGCTAGCAATAAAGAGTCAAAATTGAAATAATTAAAATGCAAAATATATTACCATTCTAAATGAATATTCCAAAACTGAAATAACTGAAACCCTAAAAGCATTCCCACTTAACAGTAGCGTCAAGTCTAAGAAATACACAAGGATAAATTTTACAAATGATGTGAAGAATGATAAACTACAAAACATGGTGGAAGAAATTAAAGAATATCTAAATAGCTGGAGATACAGAACAATGCTCATGCATTTGGAAGAATCTATATAATTAATATGCAAGTCATCCCAATTAATCTACAGACTCAACACAATCAAAATTTCTGCAGGCCTTTTAATTGGCAAACTGATTCTAAAATGCGCATATAAATGCAAAGCACTCCGGATTGCCAAAACAACTTTGAAGATTACACCTACTTACACTCTTATATTTATAGAGTACTATTTACAATAGCCAAGATACATTTTCTATTTTGTAATTGTGTCTTCAGTGTAAAATTGCAAAGCTGAGCTACAATCAAAGTGTACTCTTTGGGTCCCACATAACTATCAAATAGGGGATTTGAATGAACACTTTGAATCCTAATTTTCAATGAAACATGCTCCCCTGAGATCTTCCAAAGGAACAGTAACAACTGAGCACACAGATCACAGATATAATAATGGCTCTAGTCCCCCTTGGGCCTCAGTAGCTTTCTCAGTGGGGAACTCCCACGCCATCACCAATGGGCTGTGGAATTGGCAGAGGACTCTGCCAGAAGTCTGATTTCACTCCAACTGCAAAGTATGCTTTGCGCATCCCAAACATTCCTGCCATTCAAGCTCCCAGAAGGCTGGCTGTCTAGTTTCCTATCATAACCACATCTAGCCTACCTCCCTCAAATGTTTCCTGACTACTTCCAGTTCCTCAGCAAACCAACAGCGGTCTTGTCTCTGCATCATGTGTCTCCAGGTGTTCTTGTTGATCCTGTCAAGAGTGTCAAATGAGGGACAGAGTCCTGCACCAAGACACCGTCCTGCACCAAGCAGACGCCCTCCTGCAAGTTCTGTCATGACCTGTAGCATAAACTCTGTTATCTTAACTAAGTCACCGCTCCTCAGTGGAAAAGACTGACATTCCTCTCTTGCCTATTAACAAGTATTGCAAATGACCATATACTCTGCCTTGAATCCACTGGGAACATTGTCAGTCTATGAGTATCACTCAGGCAATTTATTAAA